ATAGAAGTAGTGGTGACTTCTCGAGGCGTAGCTGATGTGAGTGAGCGCTTTGCTATGACTTCTGTGGAGGCGAGAGGCCGGTTGGGAACGGTTTTTCTGTTGGCGGACTTCGTGTTGTCACAACGCATGCGGTGCGATCCGTCTGTCGTATACGTCAAAGTGTCCGGAACGCCGTAATGAGCGGCGGACTCGATCGTAGAGCTTGCGTGAAGTCTTTTCACTTGACGTGCAGTTCTGGCTGCTATTGGAGATGATTGACGGTATGTTCGCCGGTCGTGAAACGTTTGGTTGTCTGTCAACGGGATTCCATATTCTTTGGGTGAGATGAGATGACAGTGATTGAGGGCGACTTCGGATGACGAAGTCCCCGTGAGTAGTGCTGATTCAGGCTGTGCTGAACGTGTCTGTGAGAGGTCGTGAGTGGTGACTTTGGGAACAGTTTGAAGTATTTGCCGTGAAGTCTGGTGCGGTTGTCGGTCCGCTGCGTTAACGGGTGGCGAAACTGTTGGATTCTCTTTGAATGATACCTTACGAGTGGTAGTATCGATTATGACTCCGTAGCGTCCCAGTGTTGGCAGTGATAGGAGAAGTCCGTACTTGAATCCGTCGAGGACTTGTGCACGAATACGTCGGACCATGTGATTGACAGTGAAGTCGAAGGCGACTTCGCCGATGGTCCGTACGTGACCTCTCGCTAGACGTATGGATGTGTTCCGGGACTTGTCGATACGAAGTCGGAGACGTTGTGCGACATACAGTGGCATAATGTCGAGCGTCGATCCGGGGTCTGCGAAGGCGGACAAGTGTAGGAAACCGATACGACCTGGAATTAGAATTACGTCGCGCGCGGCGGCGACTGTAGACATCGACTGATTAGTTATGCAGTGGTTTTGGGATTGTTGTGATGAATCGCTTGGATCGACTCGCTGACTATCGGAAGTCGAGTTACTGCTGGAGGTACTACTGGAGATACTGTTGTGTGGGCTTCTGTGGGTACGATTGGGACAATATTTGTGCCAATGATAGGCGACTTCGCCGATGTCTGCGCAGATACGGCAAGAATACGGGCATTCATTGGACGAGTTGTCTGTTTGGCGATCAGATCGCTGAGAAGTCCCACCAGAAGAGCGGTTGCGATTGTTTTGTTGTCTCGAGTCTTGAGAATAATGGTTGGCTGCATGTGATGAGCGATTTGATGAGTGAGCAGATGAGCGATCAGATGAGCGGTTCTGATGACTGTTTTGAGAGTGACGGTCGAAGTCCGCTTCGACGTCTTGCGCTTTGATTAGCCATTTTGAGAGGTCGTACCGCTTACCTAAGAAGTACGGACGGTACCTCTCAGGGAGACCTTCTGTGAGTACACCAGTCATGTCGACTTCGGTGAGTCCGGGGACACGACGGAGTATACGGGTCTTCTCATCGAAGTACTTACGGATCTTCTCGTTGTGTTCTAAGCGGCGGCGGTGGGCAGCGGTCAGCGGCTGGATGTCAGAGTGTGCGTAACGGGCGGTGAACTTCTCAACGACTTCGGTCCATGTGATGTGGTTTGTGAGGAGGACACCGGTGCCTAAGTAGTCGGCGGCTTCGCCTTCGAGGTACTGGATTAGGCGACCGATCTTTTCGTGATCAGAGAGTGACTGAAATGTGAAGTCGAAGAGTCGGAAGAACCCCTCGATAGTGAGTCCAGAGTCTGATTTCCCGCTAAACTTTGGGAGTTTGGCAGAAGTCCTGTGACTTGACTGCTCTGAAGTGGCGGTTTCGGTAGACTCGGAACTATGAGGCGGTGATGAAGGAGGAGGTTGTCGTCGGGTTCGCGCCATTGCGAGTGGAGATCAGGCGTGGGATGTGAGCGAAGGTAAGGATCAGGTATGTGTGATCCTACCGACTGCGCCACTTTGTTGTGGACTACTTGTGGACTTCGCACGGTGTGAGTGCGGGACTATTAATCGAGAGGTCCTGCGGGTGAGGACTTGATAATAGTGGCCACGAAGAGAAGTCCACACAAAGAAATGTGTTGAATGGATGGGTGAAAATGGATGAATGAATGAGACAACGAATTGAATGACTGCTCAGTTTAATGTGTAGATCAAGACTGAAGTGTAGTGTGGTTTAGGTGTGCGGATAGGGATACATGGATGTGAGAATACAGTGATTTGATTGGTTAGAGGTGTTGCTGAGGGGTACAGGTAATGGGCCAGGAGTTATAATTAGCTAGAAATACAGGTACAGTTTGGTTGCAAATTTGAGTGCAATAGCACTTCTAAGAAACAATGCTATTTAGAGGTCATGTACATGACAACCTATTTCAGGATTTTGCTCAAAAATAAGTTTGAATTTAACATTATGTCTATGGAAAAAATGATAAAATTTTGCTTTATTTGAGATTATTTCTAAAATAGGAGGTCAAACATATTGACCATATCATAACAAAAACTCCCGCAGTTGATGAGCATTTTGATATATCATTTGAATTTCTAGACCGAATACCTTTTGAGAAATTCGAGTTTACTTTTGCATAGTTGATTAATCTCCACTCTGTATAAAATTACTGTTTAATATATAAAATAAAATGTTTTTAATTTTTGTATTACATAATATAGCTAGATGTATTGATCAACAGTATCTTAATATATAAATGAACATAGAAAATTTAAATCAACACACCAAAATTAATTCAATATTAATTTAGAAATTTTTTTATTTATTATAAACACAAAAATATACATTAAATAGATAATTAATAGAATTGTAAAATACTTTTATTATTTTGATAGTTTATATATGACAAAAATTATTAATATATGTAATTCAGTTTAAGTGTAAACTTAAGCTTTATTTTAATATTAAAAATTTCATGTTATTAATAGATGCCAACCTTTTTATAATTTAATACATTAATAAAATATATAAACATATTTCTACAAGAATACATGTAAAGTAGTGGTACTTACATCAATATAATGAAATGGTAAGTTAATGTGTATAAATCGCGTAGTCTATTCTTCATATATGAATTTTGATTAAACATGTGAATAAACAACTGACTTAATTAGTAGTTTTATTATAATAAATAGTGGAGAATAATTGAAATAATGAATAAATGATTGTATAAATAAAAGTGTATTCATAAATTAAACGCTATTATTTTTGTGTAGAAAGTATAAAAAATATGTCTATAGTAATTATATTGTGCATGGTGATTTTAGTAGTTTATGATGTATCACAGTTGGCATTAGCTGAGACAGTTGAGTTTTCCACCCAATTTTGCAACCCAAACAAAACCGACTCAGCTATTATAACCAAGGTGATTGATTGCGATAGTAATTATAGGAAATCAATGTTGGCCGAACAGAAAGAATTATGTACAAAAGTATGCGTTATTTATAAATTATTAAAATTAATGTAAAATTTAATTAGTAATTATTAAATTATATTCAAATTCTAGTTGGAAAAGGAATTAAATAAGGAGTGTATGAAAAAGGCAAGCGATATGAGTGCTTACAAAAATGTGGATCTTACCAAGGACCATTTAAAGACCATGTTGATTCAGGCGTGTAACCTGGATTTTCACAAGTGCATGCAAGATTTACTTATTAGTAATACTGAATTGGCTGAAAAGGTTAAAAAATTAGAAAATTTTAAGAATCAAAAGGAGTTTGATAAAATGGAGGTAACGTAAATATGAGCTAATTAATGTTACTCTACTTTTAATTTAATTATATGTCAAATTTTACAGAAATGCTCCATGGGCGCCATTAAAAAATAAATAATCACGGTGTTATATCATTAAATATAAACCACAATATTTATAAACTATTTATGGTGTATGTATCGAAGTTACTATGAAATAAATATTTTTTAACGTTGACAAAAATGTAATAATTCTATCAATAACACTGAATTTTATAAATCAATTTACTTTTCCAATAAATTAATCAAACTGTAATAATATTGTAAATTAATATTTAATACAGTTTGCCCCCTGTTTTGACATGTCATCGGTGCTATAAAAAAATATGTGTTAAGATCGAATTCTGTTAAAATCGAGTACATTAACAGTACTAATAAAACTCAGCGGTGCTAGAAAAAACATATGATAAAACCAAAATCTGTTAAAATCGCGTGTGTCAAAACCGGGGGCGGACTGTATATAGTTTGGAATAAATTTTACAATTAACGACATTCATTTTAGATCATGCATTTTTAAAATTATTAAATTATGCGTTAATAAGTACTAAAAAAATTATCACAGGAAAATCAAATGTATAATTCACATATATGTGTTTAAACATTTTAATATATTTTAAAGTTTAAAATTTAATCCAATGTTTTTTATTTTCTTATTTGAATATTATTTACCACTTATTTTATTGTTATTTTAATTGTAAATAATTTAGAAATACAGAAAATCACCATGATATATCTCTTGTTTTATATTTATAATATAACAATAATAATATAATTTTTAAACAAACAAATTATATATAATAGTAAAATATTAAAGTTTCTAAGCTCTCTAATTTTACATTTATTAATTAACTAAATTAAACATGACAATTGATTACTATAAAATTTAATAACTTATTTATTAAATGATTAATTTTTAATTCCAGGAATTAGAATATGCAACTTATAACCGCAATTATATTTATATTGAATAGTAAATTAGTATGTATTCAATAAAGTATAAAACCGGAATTATTTACACAGAATGTATAAAAATGTATTACATAATGATCAGACATTTGTCTATTTGTAAAATAAAATGAAATTGCGGACTATTGTACACATTATTAATATTTCATATTTAACAGTGTAATAAATAAAATGTGAATAAACATTTTTTTATTAAATGCAGTTTAAAATCTATTACAATAGATAATTGAAATTGTGCATCAAATAATGTACTAGGATATAAATAGTCGTAATTTCACATATCCAAAACATAAAATTATTTAAAATTAATAAAAAATACTAAACATGCCAAAAGTAATTATTTTATGCTTGGTTATTTTAGTAGTTTATGATGGATCACAGTTGGCTAGAGCTGATGCTGATGTGTTTGCGAAACAATTTTGCAACCCTGATAAAACGAATTCGGCAATTGTGACCAAGGTGGTTGAATGCGATACTAATTTCAAAAAGGCAGTCTCACAAGAAGTGAGAACTCTTGGCGAAAAAGTATGATGATATAATTTATTACTAATAATTATCAGTAATTTCTTATTTAATATAACTTTATTTTTAATTAATTTAGCTTGATAAAGCAACAAATACACTGTGTTTAAAAAAGGCCGGTGATATGAGCGTATACAAAAAGGTTGATCTAACCAAGGCACCTTTGAAGGAAATGTTGATTGAAATGTGCGATGCTGATTTTAACAATTGTGTCAAAAAGCTCATAGAAACTGATTCTAAAATATCCGATGACATGAAAAAATTGGCTAAACTCAAGGATCAAAAGGAGTATGATAAATATGAGGTAATGGATTAGCATGATGAATTTTAATTGATTTTATATTAATTTGATTTTTGTAATCTTTACAGAAATGCACAATGGACGCAGTTACAAAATAATTGGTTATGGTCATAAATATCAGTATAACATTTATGCTTAATTTAACATGAACCAATTTTTAAAATTAATATTATAATGATCTATACAGAATTATAAAGTTTTTAAATTAAAATAAATATTTAATTCAATAGTGTTTTCTAAATATTGTGAAATTTTAAATATAATTATATCTTATGATTTGCCTTTTGATAAATGAACATTAAAATGCACAAAATTTAATTACATAATGTAATTAACAGTTAATTTTGTTAATGATTAATGTTTAATTAAAATATATTTAACCATTATATTCATAATTGTTAGTTGCAAAATAAATTAATTTTTAAACTGAAAATAAAATATGAATAAACATTAAAGTAATAAATGTATGTAAAACAAAAAACATCACGTCATAAAACTTGAAATAATACAACATAACAATTAACAATGGTATAAAACTTCCTCAGTTAAATAATACAAAACACAATTAATTTTTACACTAACCTAATTACAAATACCATGTCTAAAACAATTGTTTTGTGCGTGATAACTTTTGTGATTTACAGCGCTGGTCATTTGTCATTGGTTGAGGCTAGTGGTAAATTTGAAAAAGTATTTTGCGATCCTGCTAAAACAGACTCTGCTATTGTGGCCAAAGTAGTTAAATGTAACACTAATTTCAAAACATCAGGCACCGCCGAACGAAAAGCTCTTGGTGAAAAAGTGTGCTTATTTTATTTGCCAGATAATAATATTTTTTAAAAATTATGAAATACTAAATAAATGGCAAATAAATAAATTAAAATTTTATTTTATTTTTACTAGGTTGATAAGATTCTCCATGATAAATGTTTGGGAAAGGCAGGTGATATGAGCAAATTCAAAAAAGTAGATCTGACCAAGGCAGATTTAAAAACCATGTTGATTGAGGTGTGCGATGATGGGTACCTTAAATGTCATGATGCGCTCATGGATTCCGATAAGAAAGTGCATGATGATTTAGATAAAATTGATCATCTTACAGATAGCAAAGAGTACAAAAAATTGGAGGTTTGTTTGCGTTACCTAGTTTAATATGATTCAAATAATCAATAACTATGTTTTTAACGACATAGAAATGCGATTATGCTGCAATTAAGAAGTAAATGATTGGAATGCTTTTTAAATTGATGTTGGTTACAAACTAAATTTGGGAATTATTACTACAATAGTTTTATCTAATCCAATGTATCGTTTATTTTTTTTAATAAATTGAGTATTTATATTTGAATGTTTATTATAAACAAATATTTATGAAATATTTTATAAATTTAATAATATTAATATATTATATTTATTTTTAAAAATTTTATTTCAATCATATAACAATTATTTAAATTCAAAGATATATTTATTAAAAGTATCGAGTTAAAAATTCACCAATTTCATTTTAAATAATTATATATAAGTTATACAACTACAATTACAAACAAATAACTTTTGATAAGTGTTAAATTTTGATAATTTCTCGAATTTGATAAAATATTTGACAAGACAAAACTGTATCTACCATTATCATAAAATCTTATTCTTTAGAAAATGTTGCATATAAATTATATGTACCGATTAAGCAAAGAAAAAAGTGCGTTTTGGTGCTTTCTTCACAGAAAAAACAAATTATTTTATTAGAAATATTAAAGTTGTGTTTATTAAGCATTGAGTCATTCAATGAATCAAACATTACTTTATCTAAAGTTAAGTTTTTCTGTGAAGAAAACACCAAAACGCACTTTTTTTCTTTGCTTAGTACCGATCAAATATAATCAATACTATAAGACTGTTTTGTTAATAACATAGAGGTTTTACTGTATAGTAAATTAAATTATATCATTGATACATTAATTTTATTAATGATATTTTTATTTAATTTTATTTAATTACTAATGATAAAATGAAATTTGATATACCAGATTATTCAGGTGAATACACAATAATGGCAAATGGTAATTACTGAATGTTAAATAAAACATATGTTTCAATTTATTTAAGCAAATTAGGAAAAAAGATTAATTTAACATTTGTTACATTAGTGTTAAAGCTTAAAATTATATAACTCACAAAGGACAATTATTTTAAATAATTAATTAATTAAGAAATTGCACCATGACTAAAGTATTAATTTTATGTGCACTAATATTAACTTTTTATAGCGTAAATCAATTGGCATTTGTTAATTGTGGTGACTTTAAAATAATATTGTGCAATTATAATAAAACTGACACCGATATTGTGACCAAGGTAGTTGAATGTTCAAATATTTTCAAAAAATCAATCAAGGCTGAAATAAATACCCTATTAGAAAAGGTGAGCTTATTTAGTTTGCAATTATATAGCAAGTATAATTTACATAACTATTTTATTTATGCGTACTAGGTAGATAAGGTTCTCCATGATAGTTGTTTGGATAAAGCGGGCGATATGAGCGAGTTCAACAAGGTAGATGTGACCAAGGCAGAGTTAAAGACTATGTTAATTGAAGTGTGCGATAATGCCTATCATAAATGTAACGACGCGCTGATATTGTCCAATAAAGAATTGCATGATGATTTGGATAAAATTGATCATATTACTAATACTACAGAGTATATTGCATTAGAGGTTTGAATTGCATTTACTAGTTTATTTTTTTTATTTAACCACATTTAGTCAACTCATTATTAATTATGTTTTTACCTGTTTAGAAATGCGAATGGGGTGCAATTCGAAAATAAACGATTGTGACAAATAAAATTGATTGTTGTTGCAAATTATTACTACATTTTTATTTATTATTGAATCTTTGTCTTTGTGACCATAATATTTATTAATCATACAATGTATACGCTTATAATCTTTATATGCTTATTATTCTTATAAAATTTTACATTTAAAGAATTTATAAATTCATTGTGATAATAATTTTTAATGATAATTTGGACAATCAATATCGGAAAGGAAATTATATTAACATAGATTTTGCTGCGATTTCAATAAAAAAAAAGTATTTGCATTGGTATTTTGCACCAGGCTTAATCTCAAAAGGTGCCTGAATAGTGATTTAGCTACCCCAGCGGATACTGAATAGGGATTACATTAACTTTATTATCATTTTCATACATTATTTTGTGTTTATTCAGATTGACAAAATGAATTTCCACATTGATAAAAAATTAACAAAACATATTGTGATGTTTCAAATATGTTTCATTAATTCATATAAAATATATTGCATTGATGGTATTTAGGAATAATCAGCATAAACCCGTGTACATAGAATACACATATTAAAGCATTTCTTTGTATTATACGTTACGAAAAATCATAAATTATTTACAATGCATCAGTGTCGATCTTATTTACTCGTGCTATATTTAGTATTAATAATTACAATGATTTTATGTGGGTGCGTTTGGTTTGTGTTAAAAGCCAGAATGCATTTACTGATTGAGCCTTATAATCAATTTCAACCCCTATTCTGTAACCCAAATAATACCGACTCTAATATTGTTCAAAAAGTTATACAATGTTATGATAATTACATCAAAATTATAACCCCAATGCATAGAATGCAAATGGAAAAAGTATCATGTTCATTTTATTGTATTTAATTTTAATTGCAATAAAAATTATTTTATTTAATTTTAATTGTACAGCTTTGATTAGTGAAATAATTTGATCATTGCGTTTTTATATTACATTATCTAGGTGAAAAACATTACGCAAAATTTTTGTTATAAGAATAATGTTGATATGAGCAGGTTTAAAAAAGTAAACCTAACCAACGAGGAGTTTAAATTAACATTAATCGGATCGTGTAACCCTGATTACAACAATTGTATAACCAATCTGGATAAAAATAATGATGTCCACAAAGATATTCTACGATTGGTTGAAATTAGAAATAAACGTGAATTTGAAAAATATCAAGTATAATTTAAAATAATTATTGTTATTATTAATATAAATAGTGTTTTGATTTTATTTAATAATTAAAATTAATTTAGAAATGTCAACTAGATGTGGTTTGGAAATCAATTCACAAACCTGGAATCTAAATAAAATCTAATTTATATTCTGTTTTATATTATAAATTATAATTATATTAAATAAAGTTGTAAAAATATTTAAATAAATAATTTTACATTAGTGTTTTACATGTGCATTGTTTATGTCAAAAGTCTACGTACATTAAGTGTACTTATAATAAGTTTCCGTCCGGAATATAGTGTTGTAAAGTTTTGTATAATGAACTCTCAATTCAATTGATTTGGTCCCAAAATATTGAGTGATTTAAATTATAACGAGTCCAACCTATAGAGTAGTTAGTGTTATATAATTAATGCATACATTTTTTTAATTAAAATAAAATTAATATCTAAATATACAATGATTTGTATTGTTTTATGATTGCATATATTAGTTTCAATGTTATATGGTTGATGATAAATTGCATCATTATTACTATTGTTAACCATAATTACTATGTTTATACAGATCGTTAAAAAGTACATAGAAAATTGCATATTCAATTAGAAAATAAATAAAACTTGCATATTTGTAAGTGCAATATACCGTAGTAATTTATTTTAAAAATTCCACATAAATGTAAGACAAATGATAATTTTAAACATTAACAAAAAATATATTAAGTCTTATATTTCAAATAATTATGAATTTATGTAAATGTCATTTTATCGTGTTATATTGTGTATTACTAATTATACTGATTGTATGTGGGTGCGTTTGGTTTTATTCAAAAGTGTTGTATCAAACGAACACAATTGATAAAATGTACAAATTTGAAAGGTTATTCTGTAACCCAAATAATACAAACTCGAATACTATTCGCAAAGTTCATGAATGCGCTATGAATTACGCCAAAAAATTAACACACGCAGAAATATTACTCATACAAAAAGTATAATGTTCAATTTATCTTATATATGAAATATAACTTTGATTATAATTCTTTTATTTAAAATTCATAAAGCTGACAATTATTACCTGTATATATTTTTTATCTAGATGGGAACCGCTACTGGAGAATCGTGTTATAATAATAGCACTGACATGAGCATGTTTAAAAAGGTTGACCTAAACAACGAGGAGTTTAAATCAACTCTAATTAAATCGTGTGACCGTGAATATGATAAATGTATAACAAAACATTCTAGCAATAAAGTTGTTACCAGACATGCTATGAAATGGATGGAAATTAGAAATGAAACTCACTTTGACAAATATCAGGTATGATTAATATTAGCATTAAAATATATAATACAGCATAATAATGTATTAGCTAATAATTTTATTCGATGTAGAATTGCCAATTAGACGCGGTAGGTGGATCAATTCACAATGCTGGAATCTCAATGAAATATAATAATTATAACTATTATATACTATTATTTGTATTTCAATTGTTTGTATTGATATCTTGACTTTAATATCTCTTGATAAATAATATAAAATATGAAATAAAAAGCTACAGATTGTAAGTGCAATATACCGTAGTAATTTATTTTAAAAATTCCACATAATTTCCATTTAAATATAAATTGCAATAATTCAAATAATTATTCATTGCACATATTACATAGAACTGAATTCATTATTTGCAATAATATAATTAAATACAACTCAATCATTTAGGCGAGTAATCGCATTATTATTACTAACAAATATTTAAGTCTATTTAAATAGACCATAATTATTGTATTTATTCCGATTTACAAAATTAAACAAAATTGATTTTATTTTGTCTCTTATAATGCATTAATGTCTGAACAAATTTCCAAATGATATAAATTATACTAATATTGTATTAGACGTAAGAAATTGAATATTTTTCATTTATTGATATTTCATATATTTTGAATTAATGTTTGGTATTTTGACAGATGCACCTAGATTTATAAATGATTACAACCACTAGCTGTCATTAAATTGGTAATACAATAAAGTTTATTTTATTATTAAACATAATTTAATATGTTTATTTTAGATTTGCATTCATACATTATACATTATGGTGAAATAGTTATTTATTCAGTCTCCAAATAACGATTAATATAATGATCACAAATGATATATACAAATGAATTTACGTTTACATAAACTCAATTTTAAATGCCATACATTAAAGACAATGCATTTCTCTGACATAAGTCTAAAGCAAAATTAAGCATGTTGTTTATATTTAAATATTTTATTACAATAATTTATTTCTTGTGCGTAATTGAAAGCGAGTGGCTAATTACTAGCGCCACAGAAAACAACGATGTTCAATTTGAACGATTATACTGTAACCCGAATATAACGGACTCCGAAATTGTGACAAAAGTAATCGATTGCTTCAAGAATTACAAAATCGCTTTAAAACCAGAAGAAAGGGAACTTGTTGGAAAAGTATTATTACATTTATTATTATTACATTAGCTTTCACATAGTCATTATTACAATTGATGTATTATCCAATTTGATCTAGCTGGACAGTATCACCAGGAAAGAGTGCTATCAGAATAATAATGATATGAGTCGGTTTAGCAAAGTAGACTTGAGCAATCAGGACTTTAAATACAGCCTCGTTGAAGCGTGCGATATTGATTATGACCTCTGTTTAAATCATCTTGCTCAATATCCTAATATCCAAGCGTATACATTAAAGTGGGTGAAAGTAAAAGATCAGCAGCAATATGATAATTTTCAAGTAAAAAATATTAATTTATATCAATGTTATCTAAAACAATTAGATGACAATTTATTAATAATTTTATTAATTTCAAATTTTAGCAATGCCAATTAAATGTTGTCTGTGGCGTAGTTAGTAGTGGTGCATCAATATCAATCAAAATTAATTTTAAAATGCTGACTATTATTTATATTATACTATTTAAGGTATTATAATAAAGTAGTTAATAACTTCTACTTAATGTTAAGTATTGTTGTAATACAAATAAAAGTATTGTTGTAGTATTCTGCAACTATTTTGTTTAAAATAATATACTATGTTATAATATTCTATTCTGTATTATATGATTTAAATAATGTATAGTGTTTTGCTTATATTTAATTATAAATAACAAATAGTTTTTAATTTTAAAATCATTGAAAATAAGCTAAATTGTAAAATAAGTTTTACGCAAACAATCGAGTTAATCATATGAAATAATCTGGGGTTTATTCCGTACATCAAATTAATGTAATGTTAAACATTTAATCATAAACAGGGTGGTGGAATAACTTTCTTTGAAAACAAACTCTTTACATAATAACATTAATAATAATTTGATTTTATAAACATGTTTATTACGTTATTATTAACAAGTTACAGACATGCAATTATCATTACTAGCTTATGGTTACTTGCTAATTTTATATGTTCTAATAAATATAAAAAATTATATTTTAGGAATTGTTATTTCTAAATGAAAATCAAAATTTACAAACATAATTTATAGTTAATTCTAAATAAAATTCACTGGAAATTTAATAATAATTAAATTAAATACATAATATAAGTATACAAACATTTGAGTAGTTCACACAAATTACTTTAGGTTTATATATATACATTCTGAACCTTTCTCAAACACCTTTCTAAATAACACTTATGTATTTTGCCTAAATGTCTAATGGCTAGATGTTCAAGTAAATATTGATATATTATTTATATTACAGAGGGAGGGGTTGTTTATTTAATCCTTACAATTAGACATTTAGGCAAAATACATAAGTGTTATTTAGAAAGGTGTCTGAGAAAGGTTCAGAATGTATATTTATATATAAAATACAAATTTCAACATAAACTTCAATAGTAGTATAACATTCATAGGAACTCAGATGTTCCATAGATTACGGTGAATATAATTTTTAACATTATATAAATAAGCACGATGATTACTATGTTATAGTTATAAAATTATCATCATGTTTATTATATATATTATGTTTATGATATTGGTTGCGGAAGCATCTGAGAAGAAAGATGATATAATTCAATTTGATATTGGTCAGTGTTATATTGATGCTGGCATGGCCGAGTTTGTGGGCAATCACCGGGCTGATTACCAGGAAGATGCGATAAAGTTGAAACATGCATTTGTCATAATACTAAACAATAAAGATAACTTCAATTACTACACTTATAATTACTTGCCATTCGTGCTGAATAAAATCTCGAAGAACATTTTGGAAGTTCGCAAAGGTAACGATACACTGTTAAATACCAAGATCAGTCAGCTTCAAACCATACTTGACGAGTCAGCCAGCTCCATCGCAAGCATGTTCCAATACGCACCTGGCATTGATGATGGTAAACCAATACCTGAACTTAGCGAGCTGCATTTTGTCAAAAATGCCAAACGAGCTAAACCAGTTGATACACCCTATGCCCAATCATATTTGTCTTGTGCCGAACCATTTTTGGCTATGATTTGCCAAAATGTGCATGTTTGTATCGAGCAACAAATCGATTACATAGAAGAACTTAACCAAGGTAATACTGATATGCTTACTGATTTTGAACAGCATTGGGCCGATACGTGCTCACAAATCAAAGCCGTATTTGTTAAAGAAGATGTTAAATAAATGTTGGTAATTTATATATCAATTGTGTCTAACAAATAAATTTAAAAATAAAAATTGATTAAAGTTAGTATTTAAATAGATAAACAAAATATTATTAACGTGTAAAATGCATAACTTTGCAATGATTTTAATATAAAATAAAATTATTAATACAATTAAATGTTTAAAATTTATAAAGATATCAATAATTTAATTCAATGGGAAAATAAATTAATAAACATAAGTATTTCAGTAAGAGCATCAAAATAGGAATGTTGGCAATGGTCTCGCTCTGAACCGGTGCGGGTTTCTATGAGGGTCAAAATTAATTTAGTATATTAATTATATTAAATTTAATTATAATTTCAAACTGTATTTTTTCAAAGAAATTATTTTGTCTGTATTTATTGTTGTTCAGTAGTAATCCAAAATTTAGTAACCTGATGCCAAATTTACCCGACTGGAAAATGACATTGTGACAATATACATTATGTGTAATTATGTGACAAAAGTGAAATTATTGTTTTATTACTTGTAGTTTATTATAAATATATTTAACATAATTAATAAATTTATTTAATTTTAAATAACATTAAATCTATGTTGCATTTTTTGATCCAAAGTATATATTTATTATTTACCGATGTTTTCATTGGAAATTATACATCAATCAAAGAACAATATAACAAAGCATTTATGTGTAATCTTTTATAATTACAAATTAATTAAATAAATGACAAATAACACACTTGTAAACATAATTTAAATGTTACATAAGCATACTTAATGAATGTATTTTGTATACAAGTACATTGTTTAATATTTTCTTATTGGAAAATTATAATTATGTTTATGACTACAAACGGAACGCCGGTTAGAATACAATGTAGTATTAATGACTAATTTATTATTATAATTGTGTTTAACATAAGATAACTTAAAATTATAGCAAATCTTTAACAAATATTTCATAGTAATAGTGAACACATTTGAGAGCATAATAATAGACAAACCAAACCAGAGGCCAACCAAAGAGCCCACGAATGACACAAACTCTTCAAAAGACATTTTGGGTAAATGTGTGAAAATCAGGTCCGGCTGTCCGTCAGACCAGACATGGATCTGAAACAGTGGCCAAACATAATCCTGAGAGTGATTTGCAAACCGATAAATCTCGGCAAAACACGGCTCGCATTTACGACAGCTTTGCCGACACTCGTCAGCGATAATTGAGTCGACTGTCAAATTATGGCGCAAATCGGCCCATATCTCGTTCATTTCAAAATCATACCTCACCCTTACCATTGGGCGCCAACCTTTATCATTTTTGTAGGCCAGAAAATTACCCGGCCACTTTCCAAATACACGCATTGATCCATTGAGTCGGCAGCGGCTGATACAGTCGTACTCTGAGTAATCACCATGCTCAACGTAATCATAACATGAGCTATCGTAAGGCGCCTATAGGGAGTGAACGGCTGTCCGGCCGTACTTTACGTACTGATAGTTGTGATCATTACTGATAACGAGTTTAGTTTCTCTGTAAACATTCATTACTCGCATATACGGCGAGTGGAGCCGGAAATCAACTCTTGGTATAATGTTATTGATAACAATTCTGATTACATACATGTTATAATCGCTGTACATAACAGTGTTATCGCTCAGGTAGTCTTCGCCGGTGGCACCGGACCTACTGTCCACTTGCGATAGGAATGTATAGCAGCCGTAATAGTAGTTTATTGACTCGAGTATTGGCGCTACTTCTGTGCATTTAATGTAGTCATCCATAGACTTAACGTAGGTTTTTGGCCGCAATGTTAGACAACTGTCGTTAAATAATTCAGTAGTAGTTAAAAGAATTTTAAATTGTTGCTCAATTGATAATGAATTGATCTCAGCGTAAATGTATGACAAATTTGTTGTCCTGTTGTCATATATACTGGCATTTCTAATGAGATAATGTTTTTCAATACATAATGTCATTGCGGGTAAAGTAACGACAGATATGTTGCCATTTCTAACAATAGTTATGGCCGGATATGAGAAATAAATGCCACATATTTTGCATATTTGATATAAACATATGGCTAAACAAATTCCGTAAAATAATGTAATGAGAAATTTTGATTTTATTAGCGATTTTATGCATTTTATATTATATCTGATCATATTTAACAGGTTTTAATTATATTAGTAAATTTTCTACATTGTTGACGATTTTACTTGTGGGTTTATTTATTAAATAACCAATTGTAATATATTGTTGTTTTGACAGTTTACTTATGTGACATAAGTTATGTCACATAGCTGATGCAGAAAATTATTAAAATATATTACTAACCTAAAAATATATATTATACCGTATAATGGATATTATATTTTAATTAGTACGATGTATAAATAGTCAATATATGTTTTTTGTAAATATTCATGTCAAGAATCAATAGAGTAATTCATATAAATGTCGATATTTATATTGAAATAGCTTGTTGTCAACGATAAATATGTCATTTAAATGTTATGAATTATTTGTCTTATTTAACGGCTAAAATAAAGTATTGTTTTTGTTTGCATTTTAGTGCTTTACAAATCAATAATCTGCTAATAAACTAATAATATGTACAGTACTATTGTAAATAATCTGTTTATGCTAATAAATAATTTTTAATTTAAGAGAATTAATTTAAATTAGAAAATGACAATTATATTTTATTGTTGTAGTTTATAGAATTTATGACATAGTATTTTTTCAATATCTATAGTTAGTTAATGAAGATTTATAATTATGTTTTTGTTTGCAAACAGATCGTCGATTAGTATAAACATTTGTATTTATAACCAAATTATTATTATATTTAATGTTATAATAAATTTTAGACAAATATTTGATGGAAATAATGAACACATTTGAAAGCATAATAACAGAGAAACCAAACCAGAGTCCGACTAAAGAGCCTACGAATGACACAAACTCTTCAAAAGACATTTTGGGTAAATGTGTGAAAATGAGATCCGGCTGTCCGTCAGACCAGACATTAATCTGAAATACAGGCCAATAGTATTCTTGAGAGTAATTGACCACTCGGTAAGTTTCAGTAAAACATGGGTGATTATTGCGACACTTTTGCCTACACTCTTCACCAATGATTGAGTCTACGGACTTATTTTGCTGGAAATGAGCGTATATTTCGTTGATATCCAAACTATAGTTCACCCTGATCATCGGTCGCCAACCACTATCATATTTATAGGCCTGAACATTACCCGGCCAATTTCCATAAACTTCCATTAACTTAACCAGTCGGCAGCGGCCAATGCAACCGGAATCTGAATAATCACCATGCTCAATGTAATTGTAACAATTGGTGTCATATGGAGCTGGCTGTGAAATGACAACACCGCGACTATACTTTATAAACTGGTAAAAGTGATCATTACTGACAACGAGTTTGCTTTGTCTATAGACACTCATTAACCGCATATACGGCGAGTGGAGCCGGAAGTCAACTCTTGGTATAATGTTATTGATTTGTACTTTCATTACCTCAATGTGATAGTCGTTGTATTTAACAGTGTTGTCGCTCATGTAGTCCTCATTGGTGGCACCGGACCTACTGTCCACTCGCGATAGAAACGTATAACAGCCGTAGTAGTAGTCAATTGACTCAAGTATTGGCGATACTTCAGTGCATTTAATGTAGTTATCCATAGATTTAACGTAGGTTTTTGGTCGCAGTGTTAGACAACTGTTGTTAAATATCTCAGTAGTTGTCAATAAAACTTTAAATTGTTGTTCAATTGATAATGAATTAAATTTTGCGTAAATTTCCCGTAAATCTGTTGTTTTGTTGCTAATAATACTAGCATTTCTAATGAGGTAATGCTTTTCAATACATAATGTCATTGCGGGTAAAGCAACGACAGATATGTTGCCATTTCTCACACTAGTTATGGTCTGATATGAGAAATAAATTTCACATATTTTGTAAATTTGATACAAACACAGCGATAAACAAAATCCATAAAATAATACAATTAAACATTTTGATTTTATTATTAATTTTATGTTCATAATTATATTATAGTTATAATTTTATATATTATTTAAAAATTTATGCTGTTAATTTATGGCTTACTGAAAAGTTTTCAGTGAAAACCCCCAACGACAAAACGTTGTTAATTGTAATATACTTTATATATCATATTAAAACAAAGAAATTTCTTAATGAGTCTAATAAATTTTACTAATATTTTCATATAATATATTATGTAAAATTTCCAATAAATTTAAATAAATGTATTTTATTGAAATACAAAGTAAACATAATATCAGTGTAAATAATATGATATTTCTCGTGTTAGACAAACAATCTATTGAGAATTTAATATCTAAATGTGCTACTTTATATGATTATTATCCGCGATGTATCATCCAATTTATTTACATTAATGTTTGGTTTAATCAATAAATATTATAACTTACTCCCTTATTTTTAATATTACCATGCAATGTTATTTCTTTATTGTACTGTTTAATTTTATATAATAAATAATATAATTAAATTTAGGCAATTATTACAATATAATTTACACACTGTTAGTAACTGACGTAATATATAATAATATGAATTATCATTGGATTACTGAATGACAAAGCTTATTATGGTGAATAATGATTTGAATTAACTGAATTGAATTTTAGATTTTATACTTTACATGAAAGAAATCAAATATTTTTGAAAATATTTCAGTAAAATATTTTAATTATTTTTAAACATAATGTTTTTAATACCTAGTCTAGGTTTATTGCAAACTCTTTGTTTAATAGTGTGTTGTGTTTGCGATTCAAATAGTATTGATGTGAACACGAGTTCGGGTTCAGTGAGGGGTCAGACACTCCATGTCTTGAATCGCAAAATACATCAATTCTTGAATATACCCTACGCTGAGCCCCCTTTAGGCCCACTCAGGTTCGCCCCTCCCCTACCACTCAACGCACCAAAACAGGTATGCATTGAAAATATTGTATTAATAATTAATACTTAATTAATTATTTATAATAATTAATTATTTAATTTACACTAATGGTTATAAACATAATGACAGGATATAATAGATGGCACGAAATTAGGCAATAGTTGTATTCAGCGCATGATAATTGGGGTGAATATTAGCGAAGATTGTCTTGTATTGAATATATGGACAGCAAACGTGGACAATAGCGATGATAGTCCGTCGCTAACGGTTCTCAAACCAGTAATGTTTTACATATATGGCGGAGGATTGAGTTTGGACTCAATATTTTATGATCACTACAACGCGAGTGTTTTGGCCACCAATGATGTGGTGGTTGTGTCCGTTAATTATAGAGTCGGGCCGTTGGGCTTTCTATACGGCGCCGATCGGACAGCGCCCGGAAATGCGGGCTTTTATGACCAGTTATTGGCACTCAAATGGGTATTCATATATAATTGTAATTTTAATTTGTAATTATTTTTGTGTAACTTAATGATAGGTTAGGGAAAACATTCACGCATTTGGCGGCGATAAGGATCAGATGACGATCTTTGGCCAGAGCGCCGGGAGTTGGTCGGTGTCCGCACACATACTCTCCCCGCTATCCAAAGGCTTATTCAAGAGGGCTATTATGCAGAGCGGATCCCTTATGTACAACAGAGAGCGACCGGTGCTCAACACCGTTGAGGCCCTGCAAAAAGCTAAACAATTGGCCAAACGGTTGAATTGCGATCAATACGACTATAAATGGTTAGACTGTTTGCGGGCAATACAAGACCCAAATTTATTTATAAAGGTTCCAGAAAATGGAAATCCATATATATTGACACATTCGGTGTTTGGGACCGAGTTTTTACCTATTTTACCTCAAAAATCTCTTGAATTAGGGTTATATAATTCTGGTATAAATAGTTTCAGATGCATTAATTAATCAATTAATTTCAACCAAGTCATATGTTTTACAGACATTGAACTAATAGCCGGTGTGACCGCAAATGAGGGCACATCACTCGGGTTTGGATTAGTGCCAGAAATGCGAGCAGAACTCACGGAACCGTTGTTTCGGAAAGCGGTACACGATTTGCGTAATGATTACCATAATATAAATGTGGACAAAGTGTGCGATCATTATCTAAAAGGTGTCCACAAAACTAACTCATCGCAACTGAAAGCAGCGTTTCGGCTACTTTTGGGTGACTTAGCGATCACTTGTCCCACATATCATTTCGCCAAGAGATTGGCCGCAAATGGACATAGAGTTTATTTTTATCAACTTAGTTTTCAATGCAAACTATTTGATAGTCACATGGGCTGTATTCCGGGGCACGTGTGTCACGGGGCGGACTTAAACTTGTGTTTTGGTCATCCACTCAAACAACAAACACTTTTTACTGAAACTGAATACGATTTCTCTATTGATGTGATGAAAATGTGGACTAATTTTGCAAAGACTGGGTATTGAAACTGTTTTACATAAGTAATTATTATAATTAAACTAAATGGTTTGCTTGAATTAGTTAATAAGCAATTAATATTATTTATAATTAATAGCAAACCACATGACATTTGGCCACAACTTTGGGACAAATCTGTGATTCGAGTGAAAGACTTGAATCCCAACGATTTGTCACTTATTCTCGACAATCCATTTGAGAGTACATGTGATGGCATTTGGAGTCAATATTTCTGATCAATTATTAATTATAAAACTATAAAATAATTAATTTGAAGAAAAATAAATTAATTAGTATGATATGTTAAAATTAAATTCTTATTATTTTAACTTGTAAAATTGAGTAAATATAAATAGTTTTATAAATATAAATTTAAAATGTTGCCATGTGGATTTAAAAGTTAGTATTTAAAACAATTATATTATAGTGTTTATAATGCTATAATTAAGTATATAATCTTATAATGACTTAACAAATTAATTGATCATGAAATATTATAATTAATTAAATCATTTGCTGAAATGCAATGTCATATAATTCACAAAACGTATTATTGAGTCGAGAGCCGAGTGACGCTTGTTTTGAATTTAATACCATATGCTGTCCGCCGGACTCTGAACTATATTTTGGCCAATTTATGCCCATTTGTGGCAACATTTTGCTAATAAACACAAACAATATTAGAATAATATAATATAAAAGTATTAAAGTAATAATAAATTATCATTTAGTTTATAATTAATTAAAATTAAATAATGTTGAATTTTAATATTGAATAGGATCTAATTAAAAAATGTTTGTTTACTAATAATATATAAAATTAGCACATATTCTTACCCAGTTGTGGCAAAATGTGTCCACGTTTTGATCAATTGTAGACTAAACACCCGGTGCTCGACATCATAGTCGTTGGGATAACGGAGCGGAAGGCCAAACACGTACTGAACCTCTTCGAAGTGCGAACTGCCGACCCATTCGGGCAAACGCCCCGACCGTTGCGTAAAGTAATACATGTAAACATCCGTACCGTTTGGCCACTCCTGGAGAGCGTCGGCAAACACAACGACCGGACATTTGAATAGAAAGTCGCCGATAATTGTAGTCAAACGATGTCGTAACTCAACGGCGCTGATGTTGACACCGGTGGTCGGCGTTATGCCGATAATCTGGTCGAGCATACGGTCGCTAACTTCAGGCAAACCGGTGGCCATTTCCCGGAGTATTTGGCGAACATCTGCGGCAGTGATGTTGGGATCGGTGTCTAACGGGAACTGTTTGGGCCGTATTTGGTGCAGGAATAGTGTGCCCTCATCTGCGTTGCCCCCTATAAACACAGTGAAGAGTTAGTATATAAATAATTAGATTAATTAAATTTGTATTTTGAACCATTTATAATACATTGTTGATGTATATCCAAATTTATTTATTATTTGCTACAACTTTAAGGCGATTTAAAACTATGGAACTGTAAAAATGTTCAGCTAATAACTAATAATAGCTAGTTACAGTTAGTAAGAAATAAAATATACCCATATAAAGTTTACAGTTTTGTGTAGTTTATCCATAGATTAATTCAGACTCCACACGAAAAATTATAACGTAATAATTTATGTAGATATATAATATATTGTATACTATTTACAGTACGTAAGATAATTAGAGTTGCTATACTAAATCTAAATTATAATTTATTTTTTATAACATTTTATAAATTTATAGTTTTATAAATACTGTCACGTGTAAAACCGCCCTCATATAAAACGTACATAAATGATGTTCAATAATCGGAGTTAATTATGCAATTAGTTAGCGCGTGATTCAAACAACGAGCAACGGTTTTACTGTGAGTCCCTTCGCGTTCTTTTTTGACGCTCTACCCAAATGGCTACCCGTTAGGTACACTCGACGCGAAAGTGCCGGGTAGTGATCGCAAGCGCTTTATAGGCTCGGCGGCACGGACGGCTATCGTCCCTTTGCGGTGCCGCTATTATAGGCTCAGCGGTACGGACGGCTACCGTCTCTCTGTGGTACCGCTGTTATTGGCGCGGCCGATGTGCTCCAATCGGCCTGAATCAAGCAATACTCGTCGCTCGAGTATTGCTTGTAAATGCTTGTGTCTGAGGTTCTAAATCCCTACCACACTTACTTGACTCCGGTAGCTTTGGCGCTACGAAGACTTCGTTGGCTCTCGGTCTGGTCAGACTTATATGCTAAAGGTCTTGTTACACACTCTTGGACGTGGTTAGAAAACCCGTCTATTAGTCTCTGAAGGAGACCTTATTTTATATACACAATAGAAGTTAAGCAGATTAACAACATGCAAATTGGGCAACCGGGTCATTCCTGCGAAGCCGATAATAAATCTAATATAATTAAATAGAGGAAATAGAGAGGAAGAGAACAATGAGAGGAGGTAAGGTTTAAAAGTACGAGCTATTCATACGGGTGCTAGCGGCGTTCCCCTTCTAACGACAGATATTTATATTCGGACTACTGTCAGACCTTCTATGATAATTGTGTGATCCATACGTATTTATTAGAGGTCCTTCAAACACAATTACCGTGTAAATACTAACATCAAACGTGTTGGTCATTTATATGGTCAAGACCTTCGTAGACCATAACATCAAATTTAAATAAGTACGGGACTATACAAGACAAGATAAATACAACATCAAAACCTTATGGATATCATGAATACCATACATATGTCTTCGAGGTATTATGATTGACCATTAATTAAAAGTGTTTGCCATGCATATTTATTCGAGGCCACACAAATAATCATATGAGTGCACAAGTAGGCTGAAAGCACAATAGCCATTAACACAATCAAATAAGGGTTCCTGACAGTTGGTACACATTTGGGCGAATTGTACCTGCCCGGGAAACTAGGGTTCTCTTTAAATAATAGTGCACGTCTAAGCCGAAAGCACAATAGCGGGTGAAATGATCAAACACTGGGCTCTGTGTTTGATTAACATTGGACTCAATCCAAAAATTGTACCTGCCCGGGAAACTAGGGTTCTCTTTAAATAATAGTGCACGTCTAAGCCGAAAGCACAATAGCGGGTGAAATGATCAAACACTGGGCTCTGTGTTTGATTAACATTGGACTCAATCCAATACTTAACAATCAAAGTATATTTCCGAAGAATTACACAATGACCCTGTTCGTTGGTCTGACCTGAGCATTCGATTCGCGCAATTACTTAGCGAGTAACCTCAAGACTACAAGTTGGCCATGCGGGCCGCGTATAATTAATTAAATACGATAATAATAACTATAAGATAATATCTGCACGCGTTGGATATATACTTTGCTTAAAACATTTATTTATAAAGTATTAAAAGGTTTACAGGACTTACATTACGACAAGTGAAGTTCAAGTCAGTCGCCGGGACTGCGGACTGTGATAGACGGTAAGACTCAGCTATCAAGCGGACTAAAAACCACTGACCAGCCGGTAGTCTTAAAGGATATCGGAAAAGTTAAAGACAAAATCTGAACCTATATTCTAACTCAAAAAACTCTAAGACTTTCTCTGAAAATAAGCTAATACTGATGAGAGATCTGACCAGCGTGGAGACGGACTGTGAGACTAAGAGAAAGCGTACCGAAAATGGTCTGTGCACGGCTTTTTATACCCCTTGCTCGAGACTCAAAACGTATAACATTCGTATGCTTCTAGCATTGCCGCATACTATTGTTTAGACCAATGAGTGAATTTAGATGTCTTATTCATTGACTGTAGGAGTAGCTTACAATGCACTGCAATAGTGTGGCAGTGCCCAAACAATGTATAATTCAATATGTGTGGCTATATATAGAGCATTACATTAAGCAATACATGGTGTAATGTATGAGGCAATGCATGAAGCAATGCATGAGAACTAGCTCTATAAGTTCTATATAATTGGTGGATATGTGCCGGTATTTTCTGTATAGCCGTACATACAGTACGCGATATTAATGCTATACATAAAAATACATTGAATTACATTAAGGCCTCATAGGATCTCATATGAAGGCATTGGCATAACTATTATACAATTTAATTATAATTACACTAATTGCTTTACCCCAAATATGAGGTTATGGTATCATAGGTGGACATCACCTCTTCAACATAAGCGGTCTTAATTAGTGGTCTCGAGTTCCGGTCTACGGGTTTCGGGTCATTATTCCCGATGTATATGGAAATATAAGCGTAGATGCAATTCTAATCAATTAATTAATGCTATAGACTTTGCTTTACCCTTCTAATGATATTATGGTATTATAAAGGGATGACCCCTCTTATGTACTGTGGGTCCTAATTGGTCTGGCCGAATTCCGGTCTACGGGGTTTCGGGCCAAAACTCATAGCATATATGGATTTTACTATTGTTGTTATATTACAAT